TAAGAAGAAAGTGGGCCGGGGCTCGGCGGCTCACGCCTGTCATCCTAGCTCTCTGGGAGGCCGAGGCGGGCGGATCGCTCGAGGTCAGGAGTTCGATACCAGCTCTAAGCAAGAGCGAGACCCCTGTCTCTAGTATAAATATAACCAAATTACTTGGCCAACTAATATATATATTTAAAAAAGCCAGCACCCACCTTGCCACAGGGCTGGCAGCCCCGGGCCACACTGGCCACACGATCCGATGCATGAATAACCTTCCGATCCAGAGATGTGCCTCTCTTGGCAAGGGGACAAATGGCATGCTTTTCACTGAGTGCAAAAACATCGTCAGCGCTGCAGATATTTTCTGCAGGGAGACAAGTGTCCCAAAAGGCACGAGGATGACACCTAGAGACCCTCCTGCGAAACGTGCTCTGAGGACCAATGCCCTCTTCCTGCCACCTCTGCTCGTGGCTCTTAGACGTACGCCGTCACTGTGGCCACTGCTGCTGAATGCACCGGCGAAGCAACGGGGCAAGGGTCCCACCTCAGGCCGCCTGCAGGGACAGGCCAGGGACGGGATTGGAATGAAGACACCGGCTCGTGCAGAGAGAGGAGGGTCCTTCGATCGCAGGAGGGTTGAAAGAACCAGGGGGCAACGTCTTAGAGCTAAATGTCTCTCTTGCAAGCTGCGGCTTTCAGAAAAGACACCCCCGAGATCCTTCAGTGGAAAGCAACGAAGCAGACTTGCTCTGACCTACCAGGAAGATTCCTGTCGGCTGCTCCCATAGACGCTGCCCGACACTTCCCAGCGCAGAAAGCAGATGAAATTACCTTCTGTGCGAGGCAGTCCTTGGAAACCCGGCTGGCGTGGAGCAGAGAGCCCCACCAGACAGCCATATGGCTCCCCCTCTCCCGCCTCGGTATTTTTACTCAGAAATTTCCGGGCAGGCCCCGGTTTTTGGCTGTCGGATTCCTGAACCTGTCTTGCGGGGCCTCCTTGCCCACGGTGGAGCTTAGGAGCTGACTTGGGATGCAGGGGGAAAAATGATTCATGACCGAGCCAGAGAGATTCTTTTAATGAACTTGCCCCAGGGGGACACCAAGCTCTTTTTTTTTTATGAGCAAATTTAATGAATCCTAATGAATTTCATCCCAGGAAAGTGATGCGTATACACCGTAAAGGGGCCACCGAGACAACTAGCCCAGACTCAGATTCGCAAGGAACATGTATGGGCACAAATGGGGAAGGTAAGTAGTATTTTACATGGGATCTGTTAAATATTCATAACGAGGTTCCGGTGAGTGGAGGCACGCGCAGGTTGATCTCTAAAGTGAATTCAACCAAACCACACAACCAAAAGAAATAATTGGGCCGGCCAGGGTGCGTCACGCCATGTAATCGTAGGCCATTCTGGGAGGCGATGGCGAGGCGAGGTGTGTGTGCAGCGGAGTTCTAAAACAGACCTGACGCAAGGCGAGGGACCCCGTCCTCTACAAAAGAAGAAATTAATTCGGTAACTAACTATAGTAGAAAAGTTAAGCCGGGGCATTGGGTTGAGCACCAGCCTGTCGTCCCAGTACTCGGGGGAGGCTGAGGCAGGAGATCGCATGAGCCCAGGAGTTTGGGAGATGGTTTTTTGTGAGCTCTATGTGTGTTTCATGCCTTTTTTGTGCTCGCTGGGATGGTGTGTTATGGTGAATGTATATTATTAAATAATATAATGGGAACCCTTTAAATTTTTGACATGGCCATTTTGTGTTAATGATGAGATGTTGACTATGGGCAAGCCAGTTTTTTTTTGTTGTTTTTGCTTTCCATGTTAGTCAATAAATTGTTTTTTAATTATGTTTATTAAATTATTCTTATTCCTTGAATAGTTATTTGTGTGTGTGTGATTTGTGTTCAATTTGTGAATTGTATGTTGTTGTGTTAATAGTGTATGTGTGGTTTGGTTTGTTTGTGTTGTTTTAGGTAATGTGAAGTTTGTGTGTGTTATTTGACGTGCGATGCGTGTCTGTGAAGGTGGTGTTGGTGAGCAGTGTTGTAGTGGTTTGGAACGCAGGATGTGTGTTCCGGCGGCGTGGATGGTGTGGTGTGCGTGTGTGCAGACCGTGGACGTGGAGTGGCTCTGTGTGTGAGGGCGAGCAGGGGCTAAAGAGGCAGGTCCGACGGGAGGTCCTGTGACTGGGAGTGCGGGTGGAGGGCATTTTGGATGAAGCGTGGTGTTGCGTGGGGCGTGTGTGGCTCAGCGCGTGCGTCTGCGTGTGTTGTGAGTGTGCTCTGCGTGTTGCAGATCTTCTCGCTAGTGCGGAGTGTGGACAGAAGAGTCGTGTGTGAAAACAAGGCCAGGGAGGAGAGAAGCGCGCAAAGACGGAGGGCAGGTGCCATCGGCCGCCCCGCGAGGCACGGTGGGCCAGTTCCCGCCGAAGGTGTGTGCAATCACAGGTCGGCGGGCAGGTGCTCGGACACAAGCGAAGCCCCTGTGTGGTTGTTTTCTTTTTTTATTTTTCCTTTCCCTAGAATGTCACCAGGAAGCAATCTTAAATGAGTAACAAAATCGAAAGGTTTGCAACCAGGCATCCCTAGGAAGAGGACGCCTTCCAGGCTGCAAGTGCCGGGGGCTCGTTCCTCGTTCCGCACGAAGTGCTTCGAAATTGCGGGTTCCTGCGACTGTCACACCGACAAAGAGGAAAATGTCAGAAGAGTTGAGTGTTTTGTTTGAGGAGGTATGTTCAGCTGAAGAGAAAGGCTGCCGTATACAAGCAACCGTCGTATCGAAGACGACGATTCAACCTTGAGACTTCGTTCGGGCTGCTGTCGGAAGGACCAGGTGCCGGGAAGTCTTAAAGAGATGCCTTTCCCGCTCCTGCCCGCCCGCGTCTCGCTGACGGGCGTTAGCGTTGCCGTGCTGAGTGCCCCAAAGCTCAGCTCGCAGGAAGCTCACTTTTTCTTTTACGAAGAATTATTCCAGGCATCTCTGCATATACAGAAAACTACATAGTGCTCGTCATCTAAGTCTCATTAAAAACAATAATCTGCATCGTTGCTTCAGCTCTTTGTTATTTTAAAGGAATAGATCAACGTAGTTACAGCTTAAAACTCCCACCTACACCTCCCTAACTCTTTCTCTCTTATCCTTCCTGAAAGATAACCATCATCATGGATTTGGCATTATAACTGGCGCCAATAATAACGCTTTGCAGCGTTTGTGAAAGTTTATACCCATGAGTAGTAAAGTAAGCTTTACATAGATGGCAGAATACTATAAGCATCGTTTTATATCCGGTATTTTTCATTCAATGTTTTTTTGTGATTTATGCACATGGATACATTAAGCTCTAAGTCGTTCATTCTAATGACTGGGGAAAAAATGCCATTGTAAAAACGCACCAAATTCTAAGTATTCATTCTGCCCTTAAACACGCATTTCCTGCATCTCCTCGTGACAAGCAAAGCTGCAGGGACTATTCTTATGTGCGTCTCGTCGTGCACCTGCATGGGACATACCTTTCTCCGGGGGACATACCCGCAGGTGCAATTTTGGGGAGGTAAAGTGTGCACCTCCATTGTACTAAATATTGCCAAATCGCTCTCCAGAGAAGCGGGATGACCTGGCAGTACGCTCGGAATAAACGATTGTCAGGCTGACTTCATGTGCCCCGAACAAGCAGGCACCTCTAACTCCAGCCTGCCCAGGTCGTCTTCGGGCAGGTGACAATTCTGACTTAATCAATAATCTTTGCTGACCTCTGCCCCCAGAAGAAGACCCCGACACGAGGCTGGAGCGTCCTTAGGATGGCACAAAAGGAAATGTTTCATCCCAATCTACACGATGTGGCAGAAGAATGATTAACTGGCTAACGTGTGTCAAAAACTCATCTATCTGAAAGTCAGCCCACCTTGTTACACGGTTGCACGGCACCCTGTAAAGTTTAATTAGATTGTCACCGGCCAGCCCCTGGAGTTTTATTAATTTAACGACATCAAAATTCAATGGCCCCAGTGGAGCTGTAAAAAAACACTTCTGGCTGTCTTGGAAAAAGTGCATTGTGCTTTTGACTGCGGCCCCTGGAGACCTGCCCGGCCATCCTGGACCCTCCCCGGGCAAGAACTCACATTCCAAGAAGGAGCTGCATGGGACAGAGGGGCTACATGGGGACAAGGGGACACCCCAGGATGAGGCTCAGAGCCCTGCCACGGAGACGTGAGTTCCCCTCCTGCCGCACAGACGCCACCTCACGTTTGCCACTTTCCCTGCAGTGTGGAGCAGCGAGGCGACCTCTGTAGGTCTCAGTGTCCCCGTCTGTAAGATGGGCGCACTCGTAACACTGACTGTCCGGGTGTGTTGTGAGAACCACAACAATGGGCCACGTGCTCACGGCTGTGCCTGGCAACAGGGCACACGGGCTCTCCCGTGTTTTGCTCACCGCGGATATTTTTATCTGGACCGATTGAAAGTTATTCTAGAGTGAATTCCTGCACCTATCTCTGCAGCATCCAACGGATTTTCTGTGTTCCTCTGTCAAGCATGCCAGCCTTGCTTCAGCCCTGCGCCGTCCGGAAGTTTCTGCACTTTGCCCTTTGGATGCTCTTGTGTTTGCGAAGGACTGAAGCCCAGAGAACAAGGGCATGCGCCGTCATGGCTTAAAATCCTCTCTAGCCCTGAGCAGGGCTCAGGGGCATGAGGAGGGACGTGGGAACGACTGTGTCGCTGATCTTAAGATCCAGAGGATTCTTAGGAAGTATTCACTGATGATCGCAAGTCGGCACGGGTTATTTCAAGACAAAGACATGGAAAATTCGCTCAGTCTCGTTTTTAAGGGGAGGAGAACATTTTTAACAAGAAGAAAACGAGTTAATTTAATTTTTTTAAAAAGACAGAGAGGCGAGTTTGTGTGTGTGTGCATGCTCGCCTCTCTGATGGTGTCGTTTATGGACATAGCACATCCTTAGGCTGAAAATGGATAATTGAGCGTTGCCAACGGTGGAAGGTAGTAACAACATTGAAATTTTTGATGCTAACATGTTCCCCCTTTATTTACCTTGGGGTAAGCCAACAGCCCTTATTATGGCCCATAAACAACAGCAAGAACAACAACAACAACAAAAAAAAAACCCTATAAAAATTAAATTGTGAAAACTAAATTATTTATGTGATTTCATCTGTGGGATGTACTTTGCGCCAAGGAGCCTAGCTTCCTTCTAACGTCAAGAGACTATTAGGAACGGCCGTAATCTTCGGGGGCTGTAAGATTTATCAACTTTTGCAGAATAGGATGGGAGCCAAGGAAGGAGATTAAGGGAAACTGGTGAAATGAATCAAGTTTTTCTCTGTGTCCTGGCCAAGAGAACGCAGTAGGTTATTAGCCCAGCATTTTTACACAGTAGGAACACGATCTGACCACTACCATATGTTGCATTTAGAATGACATGTTAGTCTTTTCCAAAAACAATCCCATAAAAACGTCAATGGCTTTATCCACTAAAAAAAAAAGGGGGGGGAGGGGAAGGGAGGGTTTTTACGTATACAGAGAGCGAAGGCGTGTTGGCATTCACGAGCTCGCTGGGAGACGGTACGCTTGAACCCTGCGACAGAAGCCAGGCTGGCTGGTCTGCAAACCACCCGTGATGAAGAGATGCAGGGCGAGAGTCTCCCATACATCACTGCTCCCTTCCCGGAGGCAGAGGAGCCGGCGTCTGCCCCTTGCTGGTTGTGAAGGGCCCCGTCGGTCTCCGTGAAAAATACGAGCCTTGGCTCTTCCCTGGAGGCAATTTTGGAGTTTTCTGGAACAGAGAGAAGCCATCACTCCAGTCCTAACACAAAACAAAAGCATCATTGTGGGAGTCGTTTTGAAAACGTATGAACTTCATAAAACGCTCCGTTTTCTGCCTTGTGAGCTCGGCTTCATGAACAGAACATCACAGCCTGGGAAAGCAACCCAGTAAAAAGGTCCTCAACCATTGACGCCTGTTTCTGTGATACCAGCAGAGAATAAAGCGTCTGCCCTGCAGAACGTTCTCCGACAATGAGCGGGGAAACAGATGCATTACCGTAATGCATTGGCGCGAAAATCCAGGGGGTGAGGTAGCCAGCAAGTTCGGAGGTATTTCCCCATGAAGCTGTTACATGTTTACATTTATTGATAAAACCATGTTTTATTTTATTTATTTATTTGAGACAGAGTCTCACTTTGTTGCCCAGGCTAGAGTGAGTGCCGTGGCGTCAGCCTAGCTCACAATAACCTCAAACTCCTGGGCTTAAGCGATCCTCCTGCCTCAGCCTCCCGAGTAGCTGGGACTACAGGCGTGCACTACCATGCCCCACTAATTATATATATATATATGTATATATATATATACATATATATATATATATATTAGTTGGCCAATTAATTTCTTTCTATTTTTAGTAGAGACAGGGTCTCACTCTTGCTCAGGCTGGTTTAGAACTCCTGACCTCGAGCAATCCGCCTGCCTTGGCCTCCCAGAGTGCTGGGATTACAGGCGTGAGCCACCGTGCCCAGACTAAAACCATGTTTTAAATTTCCACATGATGAAGTTTAAAAAGAATCTTCATGAGGGCTGCATTCAAAGAGATCATCTTATCATATCAGTTAAAAACAAAAAGGAACATAAATTTGCTGGTTAATTTTTTTTTCCCAGAATGACCCAGTAGCTCCAATGCACTTCAAAGGAAAATAAACATGAAAAATAAAATGACACCATAAACTACTGTGTGGAGCATACAGATGGTGGATCTCCCAGCTTTTATTCAGGGATCTACACGTCATGAATGTAGGTGGCTTGGAAGGAAAACCAGGCTTTACTGAAAGACACTCACTCACCCAGAGCCCCGCTTGTCTCTCCGGACAGGGTGGGAAGGACCCCAGCGATCTCGCTCGAGGACACAGCTCCGGAAAGAGCCCTGGACCACGCAGGTGGGTGGACGGCCTTCTATCCGTGAAACCGCTCGGCGGGCAGCGAAATCTGTGTGTGAGAGACAACGACAAACGGTGACCAAAAACCCGCCGGTTTACATGTAACTCACACGCCGGGAAGACTTCGTGGGTTGACTCCTCTCTGCAAAATCGCTAGCGGTGACAATGTCACTTACTTACACGGCACAGAATTACCAGAGGGGGAAAAAAAAATGCAGTCCGCTTAAGTAACTCGATGCGCCACTTGGAAAGTTTACCACCACGGGGCTTAAGCGCGTGTCGAGCAGAGTAGACCTGGGGCAACCTGGATCTCACTTCATGACCTGCCCAGGTCTGAGAGACAAGAGATGTAATTGCATGTATTAGTGACTTCTAAGGTCATCCACCCACACACACCCCCGTTTCACGGTCCCTGCTATGGATCGAATATCCGTGTCCCCCTAAAATTCGCATGTCGAAATCCGGAACTCCCAAGGTGATGGTCTTAGGAGGCAGAGCCTTTGGGGAAGTCCCCCAACCCCCCACCGGGTTAGATCTTGTCGGTGGGGCCTTACCGAAAAGATCTACTCTCCTGGGGTGGGGGGAGTCTCATCCTGCCTCTGGAACTGCTGGCCTTGCGGGGGGAGCTGGTCCCTCCAGCATCCATAAGTCCTCAGACACCAAAGCAACGAGATGCAGAAAATAAAAGGCCTGGTTAATACCCCCCTCCCGGGCATCGTGATATCACACAGTCATTCACAAAAACTAAGAATTGTCTTTCAAAACAGGTTAGCAAATACATCCACCTTTCGTCTCTCCTACCGTCTCATTAAAATGACAGACAAAGGTGCATCCAGAACAAATCAAATCCCAACCATTGTGAAAAACGACCGGGTGACAGGAGAGAGTTGGAGAGATTGAGGGAGAAGATGGAACGGGGTTGAGGAAGGAACCCTGGCCCCAAACTTCAAAGCAACATGGGAGTGGTGGGACGATCGGGGGAAGGTCCCAGCTCAGAATAAAGGAACAAGGAGAGGCAGCTGCCCAGGGTGTCGTGGGAACCATGGTAGGAAACTTACTCCGGAGCAGCCGGACCGGACATCTCTCCTGGCATCTTCCAGCCATGCGGAAGGCTGTGGGTAGTTCGTCCACCCGGAGGGGAAGCCCAGCTGGGCAGGACGAGAGTGAAGAAGGGAAAAGTGGAGACGATTCCACTTCTGATCACATGACTCGAGACTCTCTGTTCATAGAGTGGAATTAACTGAGAAAATTCCACCCCCCACCGCCCCAGGAAATGTGTTTCCACCACCCGCTCCACAAACACATGGCATCGAGGATCATGTTGGCTTTTATAATAACACACAAGAGCAAAAGGTACGTTTTAGAACCTCATTGCCTGGGAGTCCAGACATGTTTTATTTTATTTTTTTCCCTAAATCACATTTACATATCGAGAAATGATTTATCGGGTATACGTTTTTAGAAGAAACCACATTAGGACAAAGCGCTGATCACATGATTATATTTCTAGAACAAATCTAAATGATGTAAGCTCTGAAGATATGAAAACAATATCACTTAGAAAAAATCAGGAGGAACTTCTAAATGGTTTAACAGCTTAGCCCGTATGCATGTATTATTCTTACCATTTAAAATAAATATAAATAATTATAGTATATTCACAATAATAAGTGTATAGATAGAGAAAAGTATTCAAGATTATTTTTATGAGTAATTTTTTTTACTGTGTTAAAAACAGACACGACGTAAAATTTACTGACTTAACCCTTTTAAGTGCACCGTTCGTATGTTGTTCACTCGCATGGATATGCAACCAACGTTCAGAACTCTTTACATCTTCCCAAACTGAAACTTTGTATCCCAGCCCCTAGCAAGTATTAAATCCTAGTCCACTTTCTGTTGCTATGTTTTTTGACAACTCCAAGTACTTCATCTGACTGAAATTATGCAGTCATTGTCTTTTCGTGCCTGGCTTATTTCATTAGCACAATGTCCTCAAGGTCCGCCCGTGTTGTAGCAGGTGTCAGAATGTCCTTCCTCACCGAGGCTGAGTGGCATGGCACTCTATGCACGGACCACCACGTTTAGCCTGTGCTCTTGACGGGCAGCTAGGTGGCTCCAACCTTCTGCTCCTACGAACCATGCTGCTGCCATGCATATGCATGTGCAAATACCTCTTGGAGGTCTTGCTTTAAGTTCTCTTCGGTGTATATTCAGAAGTGGAGTCGCTGTGTCATATGGTAATTTTACATTTGATTTGTGTGTGTGTGTGTGTGTGTGGAATCTTGACATGTATTTTTAAGGAAGGAAAGTTAGTTGCAAAAATGTGTGTGCGATTGCATTTGGGGCAAGACGTGTTAAAAATATTATGCACAGATATATTCATGCAGAATATATCTGTGGATAATATTTCTGTGGGGATACACCATCCAACGTTGGCTCATGAGACAGATCGTGTGGTCCACCTCACCTGGGGCTGTGCACACCTGCCCGGTCACCTGCTACCCAGCCCAGCGCCACGCCCACAGTTTGTCTGCAGTGGCCGCACCGGCCACCGTGCCTGGGGTGTGAGTGACAAGAGGACCTTCTTGTCCTCTGCATCCCAATATCTGCAGCGGCTCTTGTGGCAGGAATCCCATAGTCACTGTTGAAGGAGGGAATGAGTATTTACCATGGTTATATCAGGTCAAAAGAGAAAAGAGATTGAAGAAATGGAACTTACCGTGTTTCCCCAAAATTAAGACCAGGTCTTATGTTTATTTTTCCTCAAGAAGACACCCTAGGGCTTATTTTCAGGGGATGTGTTATTTTTTTTTTAAGTACAGTACAACAATCTACATTTATTCAAATACAGTTGAGTCGTCTTCTTCTGGAACATCATCATCACTCTCCGAACCCAGAATCCCATCCTGAATTTCTTGCGACTCTATTTCCTTTAGAACCATCGGCCCCAATCTCTCATGTGGAGCCACAGAGCTCTCATTAAAGGAGCAGGGCTGGTTTATCTATCAGAGATCCAGTGAGCACTGGGTCAGAGCTGCACAGTGGAGCAGAAATGATCTCTCTGGGCTCAGTAGGAGACTGCTTGCTGAAGCTTTTCCCCTGTCCCCTGGTGTTTGTGGGGGGTGAGGGAGGCCCACGGTGCTGAGTAAAATGGCAGCCACAGCTTTCCTTCTCCCCCCTGGGGACACACAACACCTAAAGCGGAGCGTCCTGCTCCTCACTTCACCGAGGAGACTTCCCCTCAAAGCCTCAGCTGGCAGCATGCACAGGGTGGCCGGGACCCGACAGGGGGAGCCGACCTTGTTGGTGGGGCTGCCCGCACCTTTCCGGTCACCTCTGGAACAGCAGCTGTCACGATAGGGCAGATGAGAAGGGCTGCTCGTCTTCTTCCCCGCTCCGCGACGACACGCATGGGTTGTGCAGACGCGCTGCGCAGCCACGCCCGTCACTAGGTCTCATTTTTGGGGTGGGGCTTCTAATTCGCAAATGCTTAGAAACCCTGATAGGGCTTATGTTATGGGTAGGTCTTATTTTCAGGGAAACACGGTAGTACTTTTCACTTTAATTCTACGATGTTCGATTTTTAACATCGATAATAAGTATGATACCGTAATTTTTACAACTTTAAAAATGACAAATGCTGGATGTGAGTAACCCCTCAATCCAAAAGGTGAACCTTTATTAGGGTCTTTCAGGCGTGCTCAGGCAGCTGGAGGAGCTCCCAGCTGCGCCCCCGAATCCTTTACACGTCTAGAAAGTGCGTGCAGCCCGGGCCGTGCGGGTCCTGGCCTGGGCTGAGGCTCACCTCACCCCACTGCGGGAATTGGGGAGAGTGAGGGAGCAGGGGCTGCAGGGTGTGTTCCCAGACAGGTCCATCAGTAGGTCTCTGGCCTGGCTCGCTGAGGCTCTCAGGACTGCGTGTGTGACCACAGACAGGTGCTAATGCCGCTACCTGCTACCTGGTGTCAGCGGCCGCAGGGCAGGCAGGCAGGCAGGTGGCTGCCGCCAGGTAGAAGCTTCCTTTATGTGTCGAAGAATAGCTGCCAATAGGAAGCCAGCCTGCAAGACATGTGCTGTGTGTCATTAATTTAATTGAGGTCCGTTTTAACTCACCTTGCGTGTCTGGAAGGCTGACTTTGCCCGGCCGCGGAGAACTGGATTGTCTGGGTTGGTCCTGTTGGGAAAAGCTGTGTAGGGGAAGAAGCGTTGAAATCTTAAACAAAGAAAAGGCACTGAGAAAGGCCACCAGGACAGCATCCTGTTGTTCTGGGATTCCCCACAAAGAACAGCGTGTGCCGGGGCCCTGCCGGAGGCTCGCGATGGTTGTTCCTACGAATCTGAACTGTCAGAGGAAGCAATTAGACGAGCGGGGTCTGGGGAGGCGGTGCCTCTGTCCAGACAGGCACTTCTGGGTCGCGTGGTGCAGCCACGAGTTGCAAAACAGGAAAAAAAAAAAAGATTGGCACATGGCAAAAGGAGGGCAGAAGTCACGCTCAGCTCCCTGGAAGGCAACAACATAAGCAGCCATGGGACCTAATGACTTCCTTTATTTTTTTTTTTTTGGAGGAACAGCTCTGAAAAGCAAACAAACAGAAACAGAGACCTGGTCGAGAGGGGAGTTTAGGGGATTTGATACTCGTCCAGGGTCACTGGTGGGAGCCCCGACTTTGCTGGACCAAGGTGTGGAAGCTGAGCCCCGAGGTTCTCTGGCAGGGGTGGGGAGGCGTCTTGGTGTTGACGTCTTGAGACCCAGGAATGGAAGGTGCCTCCTCCCACCCCCCCACCGGCAGGTGCCCCTGCTGGGCCCGGGCCACCCATCCCACCAGAATCACTGAGGCAACCGTCTGACCACAGAGGCCACAAACTGTCCGACTGTCCCTCTGCCACTGCTGTCCGTCATTTCCCTGGCAGGCCCTGAGTGCTTCAGGGAGGCTCTTCTCTTGGCAGGAGGAGCCCATGGAAGCTTCCAGAACACCAGGACGGCGGGGCAGTGCACGTGAGCACCCACACCTGCACTCACAGGGAGCGAGGCGGGAGCATGTCCAGGAAGGGGACACCCACCTCCATCTCACCACAGCGCGAATCGAAGGTTTGCTTTCCGCAGACGTCTGTCCCCTGGCAGGTCCTGGGTCACCCGAGTTCGGTGGACGGTGGACGGATGGCTTTCAGAATGGGTCGGTTGGCGTTGGTCAGTTCTTCCCTTCCTCTGGGCCGGCCATCCCTCTTCACCTCCCCACAGGGGCTCTCTTGGCGTGTGTGTTTCCTTCGGGACACAGCTGTCCTCTGGCTGGCCAGACTGCTGAAGGACGGTCCGTGCGGTCTTAGAATCACAAGACATTCATGTACAAGATGCCAGCTCCAAGGGCAGAAGGGGCAAGGTGGACGTTCCTCACCAACACGGTTTCTTGCACCAGCCCAGAGCGTGACCATGCTCCTTGAGATGTAGCTCTCGTTTCTGAGCCTGGGATGCGGCCAGCAAGCGGGAGGGGGGCTAATCCACCACCCCGATTAGGTGCGTTCTGGTTTATATTGAGGAGGCGTCTGCTTCATCTCAGTGCTTAAAACACTCAAGAGCAGCCTGGACAACACAGCGAGACCCCGTGTCTATAAAAAATAGAAAAGTTAGCCAGGCATAGTTGTGTGCACCTGTAGCCCCAGCTATTTGGGAGGCAGAAGTGGGAGGATCGTCTGAGCCTGGGGGTTCGAGGCTGCGGTGAGCTGCGATCGTGTCACGGCACTCTAGCCTGGGTGACACAGCGAGAGACCCTGTCTCAAACAAACAAACAAACAAACAAACAAAAACATGCACACACAGGAGTTCCCCACTTGCTAAAGGTCAGCTGCTTGGAGCTAGACCGTATTCCTGCGTCTTTCTATCCAGCCAGTGCAAAAAGGAAGCATGCAAGAGAGACAGCTCCTTCCAGGGGCTGCGTTTCTCTTTAGATAATCATTAGGAAAAAAATAAAAAAAAAAAAAACAAACTCTCCATAACCTCCCCGCTGACGAGCACTTTGATACGCATCTTTCCATTTGCAAACTTTTGTTTGAGCCGCCACAATCTCCACCTGAAGCAGGTCTCCGGGTATCGTGTCCCCGGCCAAGCGCATCTGATACGGAGCACGCTTGAGTTATCACCACGGGCCCTGAAGTCCTCGTCTAAGACATGACATTTGGAGTGAAGACTAACCGTCCCCTGAGCCGACGTCCAATGATGGCTCTGATAAGTTCCGGAGTCGTCTTGCCCTCCCCGGGTGCAGAAATTTTGTTTGTGTAAAATCAGATCAAATAAAAGGTCTCTCTCTCTCCCTGCTCCCTCGGCCAAATCATCTTTCACTTAGTGCGGTTAAACAAATATTGGCCTGGCTGGATGGGATTTAACCTTTCTAAATGTGCACTGAGAGTTTATCTGTCCTTTGTTGGAAGGAGAATGGCACTTCTGCATTAAGAGTCTGCGAGAGAGAGAGACTTGCGTCTCCCCGCCCAGAGGTTTAGGTTTGGATGGAAAATTGGGCGGAGAGAAACGGCTCACTTCCCCGGGTTGCCTGAAAAGCACCCACTGCGTTGAAATCTCACTCCCGGAGGAAGCCACCAGAATGCTCTCTGGTTTGGAGCTGGATCAAAACATGCCAAAAGGGCCCTCGGGGGCCATCTGGCCAGGACCACGAGATTGGCGGCGACCTTGGCTCCGTCCTGCGTGAGAGGCCTTGGCCGGGGAAAATAAGGGTGGGAGGAGTAATGTCCTCATCTACCGCGTTTCCCCGAAATAAGACCTACCCATGAAATAGGCCCTAGCAGGATGTCTAAGCGTTTGCGCCATAGAAGCCCCACCCCGAAAATAAGACCCAGTGACGGGTGTGGCTGCGCAGCGCTTCTGCACAACCCATGCATGTCGTCGCGGAGCGGGAAAGAAGACGAGCAGCCCTTCCCATCTGCCCCGCGAGCTCTGTTGCTCGACATGAGAGATTGGGGCCAGTGGTTCTAGAGGAAATAGAGTCGAAAGACATTCAGGATGGGATTCGGGGTTTGGAGAGTGATGATGATGTTCCAGAAGAAGACGACTTCACTCTATTTGAATCAGTGTAGATGGTTGTACCGTACTTAAAAAAAATAACACATCCCCTGCAAATAAGCCCTAGGGAGTGTATTCTTGAGGAAAAATAAATATAAGACCCTGTCTTATTTTCGGGGAAACACGATACATGTCCACTTAGGTGTTGATCAGTGAAGCCAATTTCCTGGTGAGTAAACGTGGTGCATATTATTGTTCCATTCTTGGGGTGCTTCTGAGTGGGCACAGTCTGTTGCTTCAGACCGTGACACCCGCCGGGAACTGCCCGTCCACCTCACAGAGAGCCGGGACGGTGGGCAGCGTTCCCAGTCTGGTCTCTTCCCTCCCTACACACTTAATTTTAACATTATTCTGGCAAAAGCCTGGCTGTGAATATGGCCTCCTTTTTCCCCCCGCGCCCCCCAAGAAGATGTCATTTCAAAGGACACATCTCAACCCCTCTGAGAAGAAGTTAACTTCCTGGGATTCCAAATCGGAAGGCACAGCCCTGATGCCAAGAGGGTTTTGCTGAGTTGGGGGCAGGATTCCTTCGCCCATCCTTCATTAGCAACGACAGTGAGTGAAAGAGACATTAAAATGGTCTCTCCCATGTCCCTGTGCCACCAGACACAGGGTGACCATGGCCACAGGTGCCTGGAAGAGTTGGGGGGTGGTGGTGAGGAGAGCCGGGAAGAGAAGAACCCTCAGCCCTGAGGCCGGAATGTCTCGGCCAAGTTAACTGTTTCGGGAGCTTTCGCTGGATCGTTCAATCAAATAAACGACAGCATCATCTTTTCCTCCTTACCCGCTAGGAAACAGCGTCCCTTACGAATTCTAGGATTGCGGACGGCAAACCTTATTTTGCCCTTTTTTTGGTAAAGAATTTTGCTGCGGGACTCTTCTATAGAGAGAGGAGAGGACACATCGAATTGAAGAATCGTGTAAGAAAACATCCATTCCTCTTGCTGGATCTTAATTGTTAAACAGAACCCTGAATCTGTGGGGCCTCGAAAACTGTTCCTCCTCCAAGCAACCGTTAAAAGTGCAACAATTCCCAAACTCAAACCGAGCTGCCCGTGTCTCCGTGTTTGGGCGCCACGCCTGCCTTGTCATGTTTTCCGGGACTCTCCCCGGTTCCTGTGAAAACAGGACACATGCCCGCACGGATCACAGGACAGAAACCGCAGGGAGGATGAGCTGAGTCAGAGAGCCCATTAGCGGTCCTCCGGGATTGCTACTTACTCACCGGGAGAGGAAAAAAAAAAAATACAGGGAGAGCAAATCTTTGCAAACTGCCCTAATCACAGGCTTGCGTCAAGCAAATATATTCCGAAATGGCTTCTTTCTTAAAGCAAGAATAGATGTGCAGCCCATCGTTGGAATGGATATACTGAAAAAAAACACAATTTAACCTGGCCCAGGCAACGCAGCATAGAGCTAAAAGGTTGTTCATCCACCGACTAAACTGCTCAGTCATGAGACAGAAGAGAGCAGATTGAATCCACTATTCCTTTTCTGCAATGCCCGGCTTTCCTTCCTTCTGTCTGCTATCGTGTTCACTTTGTCTTATTTGCAATAGGAAATGCAGGTGGGAAAATGCCCACCGGGTGGGTACAAATGTTAGCTCTGTTTTTATTATTAAAAACACTACTCATATTAAAATGGTAAATATTTATTTAAAAGATAGGAAAGGAATAAAGGAACAACGAACGAATGAGTGAACAAATCGAACGTAGCTGACAGAAAAAAAACATCCCGTGTGATATGTTAAGAGGCAACTGAAATAAATATAAATCTTAATACATATTTTGGCATGATGAGATATCATCTTACCCTAGTCAGAATGACTATTATTAAAAAGTCAAAGGCCGAGACATGCGGTGTGGCTCGCTCAAGGTCAGGAGTTCAAAACCAGCCTGAGCAAGAGCGAGACCCCGTCTCTACTAAAAATAGAAAGAAATTCATTAGCCAACTGAAAATATATAGAAAAATTATCCGGGCATGGTGGCGCATGCCTGTAGTCCCAGCTACTCCGGAGGCTGAGGCAGGAGGATCACTTGAGCCCAGGAGTTTGAGGTTGCTGTGTGCTGGGCTGACTCTAGCCTGGGCAACAGAGTGAGACTTTGTCTCAAAAAATAAATAAATAAATAAAAAGTCAAAAAATTACAGATGTTGGCCAAGATGTGGAGAACAGGGAACTCTTATACACTGTTGGTGGGAATGTAAATTAGTACAATTTCTATGGAAAACAATATGGATATTTCTCCAAGAACTAAAAGTAGAACTACCA